GAGTGCCAGTGGCTTCTGTGTGTCACTGAAAATAAACTTTCTACTTCAACCTTCCGGCTTCTCATTGCTTGTCTTTTTATCTCCTTTGCTATTTTTTTCTCGCACAATGTTGTTGGTTGGGAGCTTCAAAACGGCTGCTTTCTTCTAGCGCTTGGTGGTATGGCTTCAAATGTATTTTTTTTTAAGTCATCGTTAATTTTAATGGATTTTTATACGCTTCGCTGACAGAAACGGCTGACATGGTTCCCCATGTGCATAAAATTGTTGTTCGGTAAAAAGTGAAAATGAAAAATAAATTAGTAAGTCTCAATCTTGTTCTCACAAAATTAGAATAGATTTTTTTTAACCTTCAATTATAGAAAAAAAGCAACTTGCATTTTTGAAAACAAGTTACCTGCATGCTTTTATTGTGTGCTTTATTTCTTCTGCTACTAAATGAGATTTTAAAATGTTTCCCTCAATTCACGTGCATCAACTTCCACACAAATTGGAGACATCTTTATAATGTTCAACAATTTAAGATCACAAAATGTGCCTCTCGGAGCCAGAGTGGGCTAACTCCATTTTTGTGATTTTTAAAATCAAGTTCAGAAAAGAATGAATCTGTCCATCAATCAAACTTATTTAAAATGAGCATAGCTACAGAAAAAAGTGGAGCAACACATATAGGTAAAATATACAGCCAGTATTCTTTATCCTCTGTCAGGATCGACTAATATTACCATGCCTTACTGAGCACTAATTACAGTCTCCCTCATGTATATTTGTATATCCGTATACTGCCCCCAAGTGGCTAAAGCGTGCACACCATAAGAAGCAGCACAATGGCCATTCAATTAAAGCAACTAATATTGAATTAACATCCATTCACTGAATCCTCACGAGGGTTGTGGGCGTGCTGCAGCCTATCCCAGCAGCCTATCCCAGCTTTCAATTTGTTTAAATATCTTGTTAAAAGGCTAATATTATAAAATGTTTTTTTTTTGTTGGTGTCATTTGTTTTAATAAACACATTACAAATGTTGTTGATGTCTCGGGGGCAGGCCGAAACGGATTAATGGCACCACTGCTAATTGATGTCGTGTGACCTGATGTTGTTGATGACATTTTGCCCTGAGGCTGTAATGAGTTTGTTGGCCGAGCAAGGAAAGCCCACTCGTAGTTGTGCACATAGTACACATGTGATTAGGCGTGCGCGCCACAGTCACATCTTGTACTGCCGTGTTTTTATTTATGTCAAGGCGTTTTCTCCGAAACAGGGCCAGCAGGAAGTACCGGTTCTCACTCGTTTTGTTTTTCTCCACCGGCACAATGAGAGTGGATTTGGGGTTTTTGTTGTTGTTGTTGTTTCCTCGCACTAACCATTCGTTTTGACAGCAGTTACCCATTTGTGTTCGTCCTCTCAAGAAACAGCATGTCAATTTTTGTGGTGCTTTTAAGATAAAAATATATCCAGCTTTCAGCAGCAAAATAGCGTTTTGGAGAGAAGTGATGGCACCAAAACGGGTTGGCCTCATCGTACTTAGAAAAATAAGATTCTGGGGGAGATGAGTGACAGATGAGGTTTAAGAAATGGATTTCAGACATCAAGATGAGCTTCAGGGAGGCTGTGGAATGAGAAACAATGAGTTGCGTGTTAATTTTCTGTTGACCACCGTAGTTGGTTGATGGATTAATTGTCACATTAAACATGAGAAGAATGAA